AACTGGGGTGTTCCTCTCCAGCTGGCTCAGTGGGGTGTTAAATAGGAATTTAGAAGGAAAAAAAACCTGAAACCTTCTGAGGTCAAGTACATTCTGCAAACAAACTTTTATCAGACAAAGTCAGACAGGTTTCTTTCCTGCAGGACTTGTCAGAGCCTTTAATACAGTAACGTGCATGTGACTCTTGTGCAGTGGGCAGAGAGTGGGGCTTGGGGGTTTTGGAGGACATCATAACCTTGACCAAAAAGGTCTATGCACAGGAACTGGTCTCTGCTGTGGACCATCTCTGGCGTCCAGTGTTCCCAGGAAGAAGAGCCCTTGAGGCCAGCAAGTGCCTGCCCAAGCCCCTCTGGGCCTCTCCAGAGCTGAGCACATAGTAGGTCCACAGCACTATGTGCGGGTGGAGGGACTGGGACTCCAGAGAGTGAACAGGCTTCTTCTCGGTCCCTTTTTGGCTGGTGCTGCTGTTGAGTTCTCCGGGGCAGGATTGCCCTCCGAGCTAGCCAAGTGGACTAAAGGAACCAGGCGGAGCTGCCTGCGTCTGGGGTGTTGGGATGTCTTGGATTTGGGAATGTTTGCCCATGTGCGTCTCATGAGCTCAGCCTGAGGTCATCTGTGCCGTCTCTAGTGCTCCCACAATGTGGCTCGACCCCCAGCCTGAGCTCAGGTGAGGGACTTTCCACTGTGGCCTCGTTTCCACGCTCCAAGTGATGGGTTTGGGAGCGTGTGGGGTTCCAGACGGGACTGGGGAGCTCAGCCCACACAGCTCACCATCAGCTAATGCTGATGGACAGGGCCTCTGCTGTGCGTTGGGATTCTGTTCCAGAGAATTCCAGGGGGACACAAGCAGTGCACGGTGCATATGAAAAGTGGCGGCTTGCGGAACAGCCCCCAAGGCTGGAAGGACTCGCTGCTCCTACCAGGACAGGAGTGCGCTTGGGAGCAAGCCGCCTCCCTTCCTGCTTGTAAATAAACGCAGACTGTATTTTGGAGCAATTTTAGATTCTTGGCAAAGTTGAGCCTCAGGTGCAGAGATGTCCCATGTCCCCAGCCCTGTCCCAGCTTCCCCTGCTGTCAACACCCACCATCGTGATGACGAGACTCGCCACTGTAGGGTCACTGGAGCAGGGCCACTGCCGGAAGGCCCTCCATGCTCCGCGAGGTGACGTTGTTGCCCTGTGCAGAGGAGAGCTGCGCCTGCTGCTGTAGAGATGCTGAGAGTGTAAGAACTGACAGAGAAGAGAACCACATCGCCTCCAGCCCCAGCTACGACACCGACCCCGTGTCCCACTGTCTGGCAACTCCTATTCTATCCCATGCTGGTGGCCTGGCCTCTGGGGGTAGATTCCTCTGGGTTCTACCCCCAGTGACATTTGAGGGCAGCCCCATCACTCTGGGCAAGGGGCTACACCTCTCCAAGTTTTGGTGTCCTTGCTGGTAACATGAAGGTGACAAGAGGTTCCAGTGAGACCCACTTGGCATACATTTGGGCACCGTTCGTGTTAGGAACGTTGCCTGTGGCTTGAAGTAGAATTTGACAACGTGATGGTGCCTAACCTGAGAGTCTCCTGCCATCTGGCCACACAGAGAATTCCCGAGGGACGGCCGGTTCCTTCCCACCAACCCACTGCAGGTTGGACGCGTCCTTCGGGGGAGGTGCACCTGACAGTGGCCTCTAGCGCCAGGCTCTTCTGGAATAAGTGCTGCCCCGGGGAACTCATGGAAGGGGTGCTGAAAGCAGAAACCCACGCTGCGCGGGCTCCCATCCTGCAGCAAGGCCCAGAGACCCCGCGTGGAGCCAGCCTAGGCCGGGGAAATCCTTCTGCCCTCAACTTCCTGGACGGCTCAGTGCCCCGCCCTGGGAAGGCGGTGTGAGAGCCCGTGGGGGAAGCAGCAGGGAAGGGCACCGGCCAGACAGCCAGGAACCGTGTTCTTTTCTTTCTGCAGAACTGGGGCGGAGCCCAGACCCCACCCCGCTAGTCAGGCTTCACCCCTGAGCCACGTCCCAGCCCTCAGAACACAATCTTGGCACGAGGGGACAGGGCCCAAGGTGCCCGTCCCTGGTCCCCGCCTCCTCCCACAGCTCTCCCTCTGCTCCCAAGCCAACCAGTCACCGGAGCAACGGAGCAACGGTGGAGATGGAGCACACACCCAGCAGGACACTCCGCCCGCCCCTGGCTGTCCCACCCCGTGCCCTGGAGAGGCTGCTTCCTCCCTCTGACCTCCTGTTAGCCCCAGGGGGCTTCCGTCATGCTCTTGTTCTTTCTAGAAGGTTCTCCCTTTCTGGCTGGCGGCACTTAATCCCCTTGCAGGTTCTAGTTTAAAACTGCTGTGATGTTTCAGAAGAAACCAGATCACAATAGACCCCGCCAACCAAGTGCCAGCGGCTGACCTTTTAGAAGGCGGCTGAGCAGGGGCCACCTCTGCCTTGGGAAACTGGTGGCTTGTCCTCACAGTGGGCAGACTTCCCGGGGTGTGTGCTGGGCCTGGTAAGGGTCCTCCACTTGTCAAGGAGCAGCCCCAGTGGGACCAGTCTTCCCACTGAGACGCAGGAAGACGTCCCGCAGTCCAGGGGCAGAAACCCTCCACACCTTTCCCTGCCTTGGGTGCCCTTGAATGAGCTGATGTGCACGGCCTCTGAATCTGTCCCCAGGAGTGGTGGCTACTTCTTCCTCTTCGTAGCTCTCCTTCGTGAAGACGTGGATCCATGCTCCCAGAGCTGGTCACTCATATTTGATGTTTCCCTCTTATTCTGATATGGGAGGATTTCTGAGATGGATTGTCAATATTTGGGGAAAGCAAATCGCAGACTGATGGGTTTAGGAGAATCCTGTTTTTATCAAAATTTGCAGAGAGTAGAATAAACTTTCTTATTTCCTTCAAAGCTGGATTCTATTCTGCCTGATGCTGTCTTCCTAGAAACCCGTCCTGCACCCTCAGATGGCATCAGGACCCCCTGCTCCCCCTTTATGTAGCGCTTGGGCACTGACACGGTTGAAAAGGACAGTGGACTGCAATAATTAGGAGACTCCTTTAGAGCAGTTTCAGGTTTGCAGAGACTTGTGGCCGGAAGTTGCCGTGAGTCCGTCTCCCCTGCAGTTTCCCTGTTAGCGACCTGTTACGGTTATGAAGGTCAGTGGTTAGTAACTTAGTAACAAGTCTGTAGACACCCTAGGCTCCCTCCAGTTTCCACAGGGCGAGGGTTCTGGACCTACTGTCCAGTGTCACCAGGGTGACCTACTTGTCCTTCTTCCTGGCCTCCACGCCCATTACTGATATTTAAGATCGTCTTTCAGCTGGACCTGAGGCTCCGCCAGAGCGGCCCCTCTGCCCTGTGGACTAGCAGACGCCTGCTCTCGGACCAGAGCCTGTTTCTTGTTTTTCCTTGGTACCAGGGATTGAACCCAGGGGTGTTTAATCACAGCTGCTCAGGGCCTCATTCAGTTGCTAAGGCTGGCTTTGAACCTGTGATCCCCCCCCTCGGCCTCCAGAGCCATTGGGATTACAGGCATGGCCACTGTGCCAAGCTAGAGCCTGCCTCTTAACAGGAACCCTGTGAATATTTCTCCTTCCATATTTTAATAAAAATGGGATTCTACTAAACACATCAGTCTTCAATCTGCTTTTTCCAAAAATTGACAGTATATCTTGGAAATCTTCCCGTATCAGAATATAAAGCTCTTTCTCTCTAACCTTGTACTGTGGAGACTCTCCAACACACATATGAAAGAAGAGGGGATCCACCATGACGCGCCTGTCATTTCAGCTGTCCACGAGCGGTCCTTCTTCCTTCGTTAGTATCTCCATCCATGTTTCCCCTTTTTGTATTTGAAAGCAAATCCCAGTCGTCAGCTAATTTCACCTGCCATTATCTGTGGTACCTCTGTAACAGACAAGGACTCTGTCTGTGGCACATGACCATATCATCATCGTCACACCCGATGAACGTTAACAGCAGAAAATATAGTCAGCGTCCAAAGTTCCACGGATCCCGTGTGTGGTGGAGGGTACATAGCGTGGGAACCAAATCCAGGAGGCTCACACTGCCCGGGGTGATGGCCGCTGAGGGCCTCTAGATCGGGGTCCCCTCTCTGCCATCCATCCTCCCTTCCGGCCCTTCCTGCAGCCTGGATCGTGCGGCTGTGTCCCTGGTTTGTGTGGAAGCAGCTCCATCCTCTGAACTGTCTGGTCCCATTCAAGTCCACTCAGTCTCCTCAGTGGCTCTGGGCAGGGGCGTTTCTCCTACAGGAAACTCTCTCAGGTTGTCTCTGTCTGTGATGTTCGGGGCGTCACTTCTCAACGCCCGGAGCCCTTTATTCATTGGGGCTGCTGATCCTAACATGAAATGCTTCTATAAAAAGAAACTTCCCTCCACGTTCAGTGGCCCTGAGGTACAGTCTGTGTAGGACAGGCAGGATCAATGCTTGGTTCTTCCCTTTATTTACCAGTTTTCAGAATAATGAGTTGCCTATAAATATTTGAATGAGTGAATGAATAATACATGTGTGGATGAACTGGCGGGTTTGGGAGCTGGGGTTCTCTGCTGCCCTCCAGGAAGTAGGTGTGGGCCACCGCTGGGTAGCACAGGAGCCGCCTTGGTGGGGTCCCTGTCTGAGTAAGGAGGGCCGGGAGCAGCGCTTGCTACCTGTCAGCCTTCAGTCAGGAGCGCAGGTGAGCTGAGTTCCTAGAAATACAGCGTCTGGGACCAGGGATCAGCCCGACCCGTCAGCGGCATCGGACCCTGGAAACCACACGCTGGGAGAAGGGGTGGACTGCAGGTCCAGGCTCCAGCTGGGAGAGGTCTCAAAGTGCCGCAGACCCTCCCCAGGACTGGGAGTTGGGAGTTTCTGTCCCAGAGGAGGAGTTGGGTGCAGGCTGGGCTGGTGGCCTTGCAGGGTGCCTTCTAGGCCAGCCCGGCACCACCCAGCCTGCTCCTGGGGGCGCTCCGACCGGCCTGCCCTCTGCTTGCTGACCTCTCTGCCCTCTCTGGGTCTCCCCAGGTGCAAGTGCAACCTGCACGCCAACCTGTGCTCGGTGCGCGAGGGCAGCCTGCAGTGCGAGTGTGAGCACAACACCACGGGCCCCGACTGCGGCAGGTGCAAGAAGAACTTCCGCACGCGGGCCTGGCGCGCCGGCTCCTACCTGCCGCTGCCCCACGGCTCTCCCAACGCCTGTACGTACGCCCCGGCCCCCGCCAGCCTGGCTGCGGCCCACAGATGTGCACCTGGCACACATGTGGACACACATGTGCCCTTGGGCTTATAAGCACACACACACTAACAGATGTACGCAGGCCTGGGTGTGTGCATGTGTGCACGCACACACGCGCACGCGCGCACACACACACACACATTTTGTTGGGAGCCTGTGACAAGACCCTCTGGCACGCGGGCTCACTGCCCCAGGGAAACCCGGGATGAGCTGGCCAGCCCCCTTCCTGCTGCCCTTCCCCCCTTGACTGAGAAGCAGGCAGGAGGCCCCTGGAAGCAGGGGGTGGAGACCCCCCTCCAGGCAAGCAGGACCCACGCGGAATGTCACGGGATGCTTGTCACGTGTCTCATGGTGTCGCATGCTGCAGGGGCCCCTCCCTGGGCGTTTCCAGCCCAGCCCCTGGACCTGGGGCTCTTGTTCTCCTGTTTTCTGAGGCACCCCCTGAGGCCCTCGGTGAGCCCCAGGGCCTGCCCAGTCCTACCCTCCCCCGCTCCCCAGTGCCAGGAAGGCCTTGCAGGGTTTGCCCACAAGGGTCAGCATCGCAGACCCCTTCAGGGGTCCCCCACTCACCACATGCCCCCAGTGTAGGCCACAGGTGCCTCCAGGAAATCAGGGACCCCAGGGAGTTGCTGGGCTGCGAGTGGAGAAGGGCCTGGCTGGCTCGGGGAGCACCCCTCGGACCCTGGAGCGCTTCTGGTTCTTCCCGTGTCCAACACCTGTCAGGGCTTTGTCCTTTGTCCCCATCGGAGGCTACAGCGGGCCCGCTGCATGCCCCCCGGCCTCCCCCCAACATTGACGAACTGCCACTTCCGCCAGCCAGCCACCTCGGGGCCTCCCGGCACAACAGCAAGAGTCACGGCCAGGGTGGGGTCCAGACCTCCTGGACCACGCCAAGGGCAGGCAGCAGCCTCCTGCCCCAGGACCGCCCCGCCCTGCTGGGCACCCGCCCTGACGGGGAAAGATTCATGTGGCTTTAGGCTGATCAAAGCTGAAGCTCGGCAAGGCCGTGACAGGCATGTCACACAAGGGGCCTGGGCCGGCGTGACAGGACTTTGAACGGGCGATGCTCCAGCACCTCACAGCACTGGAGGGTCTTCAAAGGCACAGAGACTGACTGCTCTGGTGCGGCCCACCCCCTGCCTGGTCCCTCCTCCCAGGTCCCCTCCCCATCTCTTTTGTCCTGAACCTTTTCTTTCAATGTGTCACCCTCTCCCCTGGCAGTCCTGCCTCCGCTTTGTCCCAAGGCCTGTCCCACCCACCCCCGCCCGCACTCCCAGCTCCTCTCCCCCATTCCAGGAAGGATTCTGCAGGGCCTCCTGTCTGCCCGCGTCCACTGCCAGGTCTCTGGCCTGCTGTTACGCGCGCCCCACCTTCACCCCAGGCGGGAGTCCTCGCCTATCTCACCAGCGTGGACAGACAGACCTCAGCCCTGGCCTTGGCCTGGTTCCGCTCCTCTCCACAGCGGGTGGATGGGACAGCTCCCATTTTGGGGAGACAGCCCTGGAGCCAGCCCCCCACTGCCTCCCCAGGCGTCACCAGGAAGGAAGGGTCCTCCTGGACCTCTGGGAGGAGGGGTGCTGTGTCACTGGGTCCCCTGCCTCTGGGGCAACAGGGAGAGGACAGAGGAGGAGATGCAGCTGGTCCCAGCCCCAGGTCAACCCTTCCTCCCCTCTCCATGACCCCATCCCAGCAAGTAGCATAGTCCCCAGGGGAGCTGCCGGGGCGGGGGTCACCTGATTGGAGCCCCCGCCCACACCTGCCCAGGCTCCCTCCCTTCCCAGAGCCTGTGCCCCCCAACCTGCCTCAGCCCTGCTGAGGAACCCCACGGCCCTCCACCCCCCACTTCCCCTCAGGCCGTCCTTTCTGGGGGCCACCTGCTTCAGAGCCCTGGGAACCCTCCGAAAGCACCCCTACTCATCGGACCTGCTGGGAGAACCCCACTATCCCCTACCCCTGAGCCCCAACTCCCCACATCCCTCTCCTGACGTCTCTTGTGACTGTCCTGCAGCCTGGAGCCTCCTCTGCCCTGACCACTGCTCCCTCACTCTCTAGGCCCCAGTGGGGGGCCACCTTGTCCATCTGAGCTCCCTGCAGTCAGCTCTGCCTGGCCCTCCACACCCCGCCCACATGGGTGGTAAAGGGAGTCGGGTGTGGGTGCTCATCCTCCGCCTCCCCGGACTGTGGGGGCCACAGCCATGTGCCCTAGGGCCACCACACGCCCTTCTCAGGAACACCTGCCTGCTGTTTGTGGCTGTGCCTCTGTCCCCAGCTCTGGGGGAGGCCTCCGGTCAGACACCCCAGGCCTCCTTCCCTCCTGAGGCACAGGAAGCCCGGTTCAGGGTGCGCCTGGCCTCGCCCCGTGGCCTCCTCCCCACGCCCCCTCCTCCCCTGCAGGGCAGGACATCAGGACCCCATGTGGGGCTGCCGTTCCAGGGGTGCTCACGCTGCCCAGCGGAGACCCCTAACACAGGGCAGCCAGGCACTCCCGGCGGGCTGTTGGGCCACCTCCGTGTCCCTGCCTGCACTGTGGGGCCCCAAATCTGAAATCGAATACAAAGGGGGTGCCTGGCACTCACAGACACGTGGGGGCTCACAGTTCCCAGACTTGGTTTCTCCATCTGCAAAGTGGGCCCCTCCTCTCTGGTGGCAGTGGGAATAAATGGGCTCGTCCTCCGCCGAGGTCCCCGGGGCCCAGAGGCCGCTCCTCCTGCCGCAGTGCAGTGGGGCAGAGCTTGGGACTTCGGAGGGAGGGACACCTCCGAGGGCTCACCCTGCCCTGCCACTCACTCCTCTGCAGGGAGGAGACAGCTGTCCCCTTCTGCCCCCACAGCCAGCTCTGTGACCCTTTGTCTCCCCGCAGGTGCCGCTGCGGGCTCCGCCTTTGGCAGTAAGTAGACTACATAAGCCTCCTTGTATGTCCCGAAAGAGCAGCAGAGAAGGGGGGGGCTGGACGTCCCTCTGGCCTCGCGCTCCCTCTGCTCATCACCCTCATTTGCTTCCTTGCCTCTCTCCGGCAACTTCGTTTCTCCCCAGGAGCTTCATTAGTGCTGCTTTGGAAGCCTCAGGGCCTTTGCACAGGTCCCCTAGACCCCTGGGCCCACTCCCTGCTCCCCTTGCCACTCATTCCTTGGCTTCTTCTCTCTCCCCAAATCTGGAAGGAGTCTCTCCTGCTAGGCAAGGAAAGGGGGGCCTTCTTCTCCTGCCAGTGACAGATCCTGCCCCCCACCTTCCAGCTCAGCTCAACTCCCAGGGCAGGTCAGACTGGTGGGTCACCTGCAGGAAGGGAGTCCTGGGAGTCATGAGGAGGCTGAGGGTGCTGGCGGGGGTTCCCACCGGCTGTTACTACCATCTGGACAGGTCGCCAGGCCCCAGGGCTCCAGGCACCCGGCTACTAGGACTCGGTACTAGCTCACTTATGCCCTCCTGGCAGCCCTCCACCCCGGGGGGTGCAGGGCTTGCCATCTGCTCTGGCAGCCAGCAGGAAGGGGCTGGCCCCTGTCAAACAGGCGGCTGGTGGCAAACCCCAAATCTCGGAAGTGCTTCTAAGACATTTGACACCCTCTACCACAGCTCTGTGGGCCATACCCCATCCAGCTGCCCTCCCCAACCTGGCTGCCCCCCCACGGGGACTCCAGTGGGCAGGGAGGGCCCCACAGGGGACGCGGGTCTGCACAGCCGGCATCGGCACAACGTCTTCTTGGCGGTGCCCGGCTCCCCTGACCCTCACCTCCTCTTGCTTTCCCATCTCTCACCAGGCGCCGGCAGGTCCCGGAAAGACCCTGCCCCCCAGCCCCCCGTGGCCACCGTGGCCATAAGCGGGGAGCCCATCGCTTCCACCCCCTCCACATCTACTGCCCAGGCCCCCAGAGCCCCCAGTACCCCACTGCCCACAGGTGGGTGCCTGTGATCCCAGTGTCCCCTACCCACTGCTGCTGCTCCTGGCCCCGGGCAGGGCCCGCCTCCTAGAGTAGGAAGCACTCGTGCCCTGGCGTGCCAGAGTGTGGCCCAAGGGGACCTCCAGGCCGCTGAGCCAGCCTGTCATCAAGCCCCAGCCAGGCACCAGGCATCACTTCCCGCTCCCAAAGTCCTCTTCCCCTGGCCTCTGAGGCACTCCTGGGAGGGTCCTGATCCCAGTGTGGCCAAGGGGCCAGGGGGGCCAGTGGTCGAAGGGACACCCTGACACTCAAACTAAGATGGGACCATAGTGTTTCAGAGGAGCCTCCCGGGCAGAGATGGGGTGAAGAAGTCGGGGCTTCCTACGTAAGTGACCCGGCCTCCTGACTGCGGTTGTGCTACAGTGAAGGGCAGATAGGAGCAAAATGGCCAGGAAGGGGAGGGGGTCTGCCCCGTTCCCACGGGGGGCCAGGCCACCCTCCCCACCACTTGGGCACTCTGAGCAACCTTGAATCCTCTTCCAAAGCTGCTTCTGATTTGGCGTGAGGGGTGCAGGGCAGACCCTGAGGTTGAGCATGAAAGGAGACAGGGGTCAGAGTGGTGACCCCAGAGGGTTGCATGATGAGGGTCCCTAGGACCCTGGCTGGGAGCAGGAGACACCCTCCCTCCAGACTCAAGAACAAACATCTGGGTGGGCAGGCTGTGGGCCCTGCCTCCTGCGCCCTGTGCCAGGCAGCGAGTGTTAAGGGAAGCAGTGGCTCAGGGTGACAGCCAGTGGGCTGAGCCCTCAGTGTCTAGGGTCCTCACCTCCCCTAGAGCCTTAACCTGGAGCCCCCAGGGCGCCCGAAGGCCCGTGGGTAGGGTGATGTTCCAGCTGGTGAGAGCGGGCATCGCCCAGCCCAGAGCTGCGCTCTGCCGTGCTGTGCCCCTTGCTCTGCGGGGAGGTGACGGAGGCTGTCATTTTCCCAGTCCCGCTGGGAGTGGGATTGAGGCTTAGGAAGCAGCGGCGGGGTTTGTGGTGGTGGACTAGACCTCCGTAAAGCTGTTCTAAAAGAAGAAAAGGAAGGGAAGGAAGAGCAGCTGCCCAAGGCCTCAGGATTATGAAGATGCTGGACGGGAGCTCAGGGCTCCCCGACTTCAGCTGCCCCTGCCCCCTCTGCCACCCAAGCCCGGGCCTGGGCGCCGTGAGGTGGCACCACCTCTATGGCCTGGCTTCCTGGCTCCCTAGCTCTGGATGGAACCTTCTTCTCACACTCCTGAGCGTGTCCTGGACAGCCCAGCGGGAGGCTTCTCCTCCCCAGACCCTGGCCCCCAGATAGCCCCAGGCCTCTCCAGCCCTTCCAACAGGCCTTTAGCCTCTGGTCAGACTCCCTGGCCTCGAGGTTTCTCCCTCAGCTGACAGGGGGCCGCTAGTCCCTCCCCGCTAGGCCCTGGAGGGGGTTAGGGTTAGGGTGCCTGAGGGCTGCGGCCCTAATTAAGCCCTTGCCAATTTGAGTCCCCTGGCATGGTTTCCTCTCTGAAGGCCACACTAATGTCAACTTGACGTCCAAGGCCCTCGCTGCAGCTGGGAGGGGTCCTGCTTGCGTTAGCTGCAGATTCTGTCTCTTCTCCTCCGTCCTCATTGTGGGTGCCCCCTTCAGGAAGTGGGAAGCCCCCCCCCCCGGCCCTCTGGGTTTGTCCTTCGGATGCCCTCAGAGCAGCGCGTCCCCAGCCCAGCCCACGCTGCCCACTGTGCCTAGTTGGTCTTAGAGATGAGCACTGTGGTGTGTGGCAGGCGACCCATGTCGGGTCCCCAGAGAAAATGAGGGAGGTGGGAGGGCTGTGACCCAGGAGGTGGGTCAGATGGCAGAGGACACTCCAGTCCCTGGCTGGGGGTTGGAAAAGAGGTGTCAGGGAGCCTCTGGACATATCGGGTACCCTGCCAGGACACGCATCCTCCTTTGCAGCCGTTAGCCAGAAACTCGGCAGAGAGTCTGGGCCAGGCGCAGGACCTGGTCCAACACCCTTTGGTCAGAATGGGAACCACACAGGGAGGGTCGAAGAGTCCCCAGGTTCAAGTTTTCCACAGAAGGAAGGACTGCCCAGGGCTCGCAGATTCTCAGGCACCGGGGCCCCCTGGTGTCCAGCAGTGTGTGCGTGTGCATGTGTGTGTGCATGTGTGTGCACATGACTGTGCGTGTGTGTGTGCATGGGCTTGCACCTCCCAGGGCTGCAGTAGTGTAGATGCTGCCTCTGTAGTGGATTTGGACCCAGGTCTTCTGGCCAGTGTAGACAGAGCCTTTCCTCCATAGTGCTGCTTCTTATGAGGGGCCTGTGGGTGTGTGGTGGTGTCACCTCCTCGCATAACTCGACTTCTTCTCTTCTTCCCCGCAAGAGTGGACCAGGCCATCTACAGCTGCCCCTCTTGGGGAGAGCTCCCCCCAGCCCCAGGTTTCCTCCAGTGCAGAAGGTATGGGGGGCAGGGCCTGCAACAGGCCTTAGGACCCCAGAAGCCCCTCCTTAGCTCCTTGGGCCCCTCTGTCCCTCGTAGAGGTAGTAGGTGCACATGTTGGGGACCGGGGTGGGACGGAGATCCCAGGCACTGAGGGAGGGGTGTAGAGAGACAAGCATCTGGGAGCTCAGGCCAGAGCAGGGAGGGGAGGCCCGAGCTCTGCAGCCAGCCTCAGCTGAGTGGAGGGCATGACACCACAGTCCCCCAGGTGTCAGAGTCAGGTGGCCACACTGCCCTCATTACAGGAATCCTCTCACTGGCCGCCCGGTTCACAGGACCCTCATCACAGGCATTGACGGAGCCCAGAGAGGGGACAGGTAGACCTACAGGGTGCTGGCAAGCGGGTGAGGGAGAAGGGAGCGCGCACCTGGGAGGGCGGCTGGGCGGTGGCTCAGCCAGGCAGCGGCAGGAAGCTGGTCAGCTTGCTGGTCAGACTAGGCCGGGGAGGGACAGCAGAAGGCCGTGAGGACAAGCCAAGAGTGTCTCTCTGCACTGGAGTGGGGGACACAGGCCTCATGGGGAGTCAGGGGGGACGTGTGCAGGAAACAGGCCCATCTAGCTCCACAAGGGGAGCTGGCCCCTCACCTGTTCCCAGCCCTGTGCCATCTCTGAGCGGCGAGCAGGGCTTTGAGTGCCCTCTGCTGGCAAGGGGCTCCCCAGCTGGGCCCACAGTTATGGAGTTCAGCTCCTAGCAACCTGGAGGCCTCCCCGTGGTGACAGAGACAGGTAGAGCCAGCTGAAGCCATCATTTCCCTTCCTTGGACCCAGTAAGTCTCCACAGACTCCCAGAGGGGACAGTGGCATGCTCACCCCCAACAGGGGCTGGGGCCTCCCTGGGATCCCAGACGATGGAGACAGGTACGTCCGCATTCTTGGCTTGAAACGCTTGGAAGTGGGAATCCAGGGACAGTAACAGACACCTTAGTGGTGCAGGGAGGCTCTTCAGAAAGGACAGGAGATGCCCAGGTCGCTAGTGCTGGGTTCAGATGGTGGGTCAGATGCCCACAGAGTTTGGGGGCTGAGGCGGAGGGTGGCGTGCCAGGAGTCTTAGAGAGAGTCTCATCCTGTCAGAAACCCTCCAACAGGGAGTGTCTCGCTCGGCACTCTGGGGGATGTCGGAGGCAGAGAGGTCACTCGGGGGGATTGATCCAGATGGGTAGTAGATGGTCTCAGAGACGGAATCCGGCCGGCCCTGGGAGCTCACCTGCAGCAAGGTGCTTCGACTCCCAGCCTCTGAGAGGGGCCTGACTCCCCCCCTGAGGGCATGTGTTCTGACACCAGGGTGGCCTCCCCCTACCTCCAAGTGAGCAGGTGACAAGGCTGGCCCAGGGCATCTCAGGAGACTTTGTCCATCTTCTCACTGGGCTTGGGCTGCCCACCCCGGGGCAGCTGGACAGTGGCAGGTGAAAGAGCTTGTTTCTCATCTCTCCAAGCTGCGGGCACTTCCGCTGCTGTCCCCACCCCTGCTAAGAGCTCCAAACTATTCCAGCTCAAGCCCAAATCTCCTCAAGTGATGCCTATTGAAGAATTCCAAGGTAAGAGAAGGCCTGGGGCTGGACCAGCCCTCCCCCCCACATCTCTTCCCCACCTCCACTGGAAAAAAAGGGTGCAGGACAGGACCGCTGGCGTCCTGCTCAGAAAACCCTCCTAGAGTAGCCGGGTCAAGGTTAAACTGCGCCTCTCTGCCCTCCGGCCCTCCGGCCCCACGGGAGCTGGAGACAAGTATGAGTCAGAAGCCAACCTGGGGACAGTGGGCAGGCCAACGGCAGCAGAGTTGCTGCCAGAAATAGTCTGTCCTGACTCCCTTGGGAGGTGTGGCCCAGGGGCTCGCTTGGTTGAAGAAGAATCTGGGCCACTCTGGTCACTGGCGCTGCTCTTCAGGACACTTGGAAGATGCCCTTCCTCCTTCTGAAGTGATGAGGTGAAGGGGTGGTCCAGGAGGCCCATGGGTGGGGAGGCCCCCATCTCTCATAGGCTGCTTCTCCAGCATCTCTCACACCCTGTGGAGTCCACCTGGGAGCCTTGCCCCAGGTGGCCACGATTTTGGCAAAGCCACTGGGCAGGAGTCAGCCTAAGAACCACACGAAGGGGCTGGCGGCGGCCCTGTGATGGCACTGGGGTGGCTCTTCTCCAGGATCAGCGAGCATCAGAAGCCCTCTGGGACCAGGAGGGATCAGGGAGATGCCTAGGGCCCTGCAAAACCTGCCCTCTGATGCCAATCAAAACCATGAAAAGCTCAGACTAATCACAAAGGGTCCTGTAGGGACAGGGACAGGTGGTTTTCTCCCAACCCTCTTCCAAAGCAGCACGGGAAAGAAGCTCCTGGCTCATTCCCTCTCGTCCAGCATCTGTGCATGCATTCAGCCATCCGCGGAACCCTGGCCACATGATGGCCAGCCAGGAACTCAGGCACTGCCTCCCCTGAGCTCACAGCCTGGCAGCACCACCCTGTCCTCCATGCATGAATCAGTTTCTAGTCACCCTGGTGTGCGGGCACCCTTCCTGGTCCCTGACCACAGGACTGCATGGGTCCTGCTGGCTTTGAGCTAGAAGGCCTGGCTCTTTCCAAATGCCACACCAGTGTCTGAGGCCTGGGGCACCTTCTGGGTCCTCTTCCAAAGATGCCTCCCTCCCTCCCCTCATGTCCTGGGGTGGGTCCTTCCTGCCCCATGCCTCAGTTTCCTCAGATGCTCACTGACCGTGGGTGTCTCTCCCGCTTGGCCGGCCCAGACTGTGAGTGCTACGGCCATTCCAACCGCTGCAGCTACATCGACTTCCTGAACGTGGTGACCTGTGTCAGCTGCAAGCACAACACCAGGGGCCAGCACTGCCAGCACTGCCGCCTGGGCTACTACCGCAACGGCTCGGCTGAGCTGGACGACGAGAACGTCTGCATCGGTAAGGTGCAGGCCGCAGGCAGCCAGGGCAGGGCTGGGCGGAGGCCCTGGGTGAAACCACCTGGGTGGTGCAGAAATCCCAACCCAGGGCCCCCTCCAGTAGGTGCCTCTAGGGACAGATGCCTGCAGAGCTGCTCTGCTAGCGACCACCCGTAGCTTCTTCCCTCGGGTCCTGGAGATGTAGAGCCTCTAGCTAGAGGCAAAGGCTGGGTTCTAGAGCTGGCCTTGCTGTGTGCTTTTGGGCCAGTCCTTTGCCCTCTCTGACTCCACACTAAGATCGGGAGGTGATCAGGTTAAAGGCTTTCAACCTCTTCTATTGCTGAAGCGTCTCCTTCAAATGCTTCATAAGCAGAGGCCCAGCTCACACCAGCTGCCCTGTGGGCCCTGCTTGGCTTTCTCAACACTCTACTCCAAGACGGGTTTGGGGTAGAGGAAAAGAAAATGCACGGAGGCCTTGGGCCCACACGGGACAGACCAACCCAGAGAGCCAAACCCATAACACCCAACCAACACACCCTGTAAGCCCAGGGAGGGGAGCCCGGGCTGCCCGCCACCTGTGTGCAGCAGAGACCAGGTCTCAGCTTCAGAGGCTGTCCCCACTGCCAGCCAGCCAGCCAGGGGGCCCCACTGTGCACCCCCGCAGGCTGCAGAGGAGGGGCTGCTGTGAGACTGGAGCTGTGGCCTGAACCAAGGCAGCAGCCTTCAGGTAATTCCATCTCCTCTGAGAGATGGAAACAGAATCCTGCTGCCAGTGCTACATCGGGCCAGTCAGATTAGAGGTGCCCCCTTCTCTCCCTGTCTCTATCTCCAATCCCGGTAAGAGCACTGGGCTTCCACGACTGGGAGATGGAGGGATTCGACCCCTCCACCATCCTGCTGGGCAGAAGGAGGGCAGCCCTGTGGAGGGGTCACCCCTCATACCCACACTCCACAGCCTCCTAGACAGATGCTTGGTGGCCTGCCACCTGTCAGACTCATAGCTCTTCAGGGCTGAAAAGAATGAGTACCCCTCCAGTTGTCCAGAGAGGGGAAGGGACTAGCCCGAGCCACACAGCGCCAGGGCCAAGCGAGGAAGATGGAGTCTTCCCTTGAGATCTAGACTTTCCAGGCAGTCTCCACCTGCTGTCCAGACGCGGGCTCCAGCAGACAGGGAGACCCGGCTGGGAGAGGTGCGAAGCCCGGTGGGATGCGGTCCCCGCGGATGGCACCCACGGTCACCCTGACGGCGCGCCCATGCACATGTCCTCCCAGAATGTAACTGCAACCAGATCGGCTCCGTGCACGACCGGTGCAACGAGACGGGCTTCTGCGAGTGCCGCGAGGGCGCGGTGGGGCCCAAGTGCGACGACTGCCTCCCCACGCACTACTGGCGCCAGGGCTGCTACCGTGAGTGCGGAGTGCGCGCCCGCCCGGATGGGCGGGGCGGGGTGGGAGGGGCCCCCTGTGGGCGGGGCCTAATGTGTTAGTGGGCAGGGTCCTTCCCCGGTGGAAACCTCTAGGGAGACCGAGCCCGGGTGGAGAGCCCAGGGGTGAGTGGGCGTTAGCCGAGGGTGGAAGAGCGTGGCAGGGCTCTGGAGGCGAGGCGGCAGGTGCGCCTGAAGAACTGCGCCGAGGCCCGAGCCGGAGCGGAGCAGGGGGAGCGGCAGCCAGAGGCAGACGGGGCCAGGTCTTGCCGGGCGTCGTTACCAACCAAGCAGGGGCGTTTTGCACCAAGTACGCCCTGAGCCTCACGTGCCCTGGTCCAGGCCGTGCCCCAAGGGTTCCCCTATGCCCGTCACAGAAGCTCCAACATGGGGGGTGGACCAGCCACCAGCCGCGTCAACTGCCCCCTCCGCCCCGCAGCCAACGTGTGCGACGACGACCAGCTGCTCTGCCAGAACGGCGGCACCTGCCTGCAGAACCAGCGCTGCGCCTGCCCGCGCGGCTACACTGGTGTGCGCTGCGAGCAGCCGCGCTGCGACCTCGCCGACGACGACGGCGGCCTGGACTGCGACCGCGCGCCCGGGGCCGCCCCGCGTCCCGCCACCCTGCTCGGCTGCCTGCTGCTGCTAGGGCTGGCCGCCCGCCTGGGCTGCTGAGCTCTGCCCGGGGACCCGCGGCCGGGGAGGGTGGACCGCGCGCTCTGCGCCATGCGCCCCGCGCTTCGCGTCCGGGGATCCTAGGCGTCCAAGGCCGGGCGGCGACAAGGGTGCGGCCGAGCTGCTCCCAGGTGCTACTCAGCAGAGTCCTCCCGCCCTCCCGCTCCCGCCTCGCGGCACCGCGCCGCCCGGCACTGCCCTCCCTTCGCAGCTGGGGCGCTGTGGGGTCCTGCCCCTGCAGCCTGCGATTTGGGTTTTAGTTTTTCTTTTATATTACCTGCCGCCTCTTTATTTTATTTTTCTTAATTTCTCTTTCTTTTCACTTTTCTTTTCCTTTGCTGTCCGTGAGACAGGGGGCCGGGAGAAACGCTGCTCGCCCCAACACCCCCAGATCCCGCCCCGACCTCACATACACGCAGGACTGTTGCACACACCCCTGCGCTCGCCCTGGCTTACACCAGCCAGCGGCCCCGGAACTCCAGTTGCCTACCACTCTAGTGGCTGACTCGATTCTCTTTTATATTCTTTATTTTCCTTTGCAACCCACCAGACCCCGAGCCCCACAGCGGCCTGGTGACCAAGGAACTCACCATCTGGGGTTGGGGGTAGAAAGAAGGGTTGGGAGGGGTGGAAACTTGGTTTTGTAGAGAACTATTTTTGTTTGTATTAACTGTCCCCTGTAAGGAGGGACTGGGTGGAAGCTGGTCACCGTGGGTGGCTGATGGTGTATAACCGAACAGAGTAAAGAGTGCTCACTGCTGCCTCCCAGGCCTTTCTTTCTGTGTTGATGGATACCCCAGTAAGTTTGGGGCTTATGGAGGAACCCACAAAATAGCCTTTAAGAAATGATCTCCCTATCAGGGCCACCACTTCCCAGATGGTCCCGTGAGGTTGACAGGCAGCCCTCTCGGCAGGCTCCCCAGGCAGGGCGATTTCCCCTGGCCAGGCTGCTAAAGACTACAAGTTAGGAGCTTCCCCAGACTGAGAGGTTGTCCCCCATCCACACACACCCCACCCCACCTCCCACCCCGGCCAAACGAGCGCATCTTGGCATTTTGCTACAGGAGCCAGAGGAAGTGGCCCACAGTGAATTCTCGAAGGCCGAATCTAATGCTCTGATCTGTAATCTGTCTCTACAGCTGTCCAGCATGGGCGTGGCATCTCAGCCCTGTTGGACCCCAGGCCTCAGGTCCAATATCAGGTCACAGCCCCCCAACCCCACACAAACCACACTGCTACCTTGGCCATGGCCTGCCTGGCCAGAGCCCTTTTGCTGGTCAGAGAAACCAGAGATTCGCCCTGCAGAGATACACCTCAGGCCATCCACTTCTTCCCCTTACCTTCAGAGGACCAGGGAGGGTGGCAGAGGGGAGAGGGAAGTGAGTCTTGAGAGGAAGCCGCCTAGAATTCAGGGTTTAACTCAGGTACTTTGCTATCTGAGGACCCAAAGGTCTCTGCAGCCACTCAGCACTCCAGCTTTGGGGGGTCACCATCCCCACTGCCTGCCCTCGCTTCTCAAGGCTTCTCCTACTACCTGTTTACTTCTGAGTAGCACCATGGCCCCATCTGGGTTCCTAATTGCTCTCACTATTCCTGCTGGTCACCCCTTATTCTGGCTTCTGCTAGCTGCGTCTGCTCTTTCCAGGCTGGGAAACAGACCTGGATCCTTTGCTCAGGTTCCTGGAGTGAAACTAAGACTGAGCTGAAAGAACTTGGCCTTGGGAATAATAAGAGATTACACCTGGAAAAGGCAGAGCATCTAGGATGGGTATTAAATATGACTTGAGGCCCAATGCTGCCCTCTGCTGGCCGCTCTCCACTGCATTCACATCACCAGGCTGCCTGTCAGCTCCCAGCCCCAAGGAAGTGCCTTCTGTCAGTTCCCCTGCAGGTCTCCAGGCTCCAACTCATCTTCAGAGAACCCCACTTAGAGGGACCAAAGTGCCCAGGTAAAAATAAAACACATATGTGGGGCTACTTGTGGGCCAGAGTGGTCATGCAACACAATTCTGGCCAACAAAGTATAAACAGGAGTGATGGATGGTGCTTCCAGAAAGTTCCTAAAAGTCCTCCCCTCTTCCCCACTCCCACAAAGCCTCAGTTGGACCCATGTTGGGCCCTGGCTCTCTCTTCTCTCCCTCCCTGGCTCTGTTCAGGCTAGGGCTGGGGTGGGCCGAGGCAGGAGCCCTCTGGCAACATTGATATGAGCACATCTCCCTCTGGATGGTGGAGCCCAGAACTTGCCTCTGAAGATCTAGCAGAGCCGAAGACATCAACTGTGCTGCTGCCCCATTCTTCAGATTGTGTGAGAAAAAATAAAAAATAAACCTTGATGTGATGCAAACTTTGGAAATGAGGTTTTCTGTCCTGTGCAGATTCACCAATTCCTAAATCTGAGGCCCTCCCTGCTTGACATCCAGGCCCCTGAGTCTCCAGGCCAGAGACTAAAACCCACCCCTGCTGCAAGGCCCTGCCCCTCAAGTCCAAACACAGGCGACAGCTGTCCAGAACAGGGCCTGCTGCTGCTTTCAAGGAGAAGGGGGCAGCTGGCCCAAATCATCTTCCTTCTAGTTGCCAGGAAATTAGATATGGAAGAAGGGGACATCAGTTAGAGCCACACAGCAGGGGCAATCCCACCAGAGCAGAGTGCAGAGGAGGCCGTGGTGCAGGACCTGTAGAGGGCGCTATTCTCAGAAAGTCGTGAGGGAGGGGAGCTAGGAGAGGGCCGGGGAAGGAGTGGTCAGCGTCCCTGGAGCCAGGCTTTGTTCCAGTAAAGGGGCAGTGTGTGCACGCTAAATTAGAGTGGCAGCCCCAGACCCAGGGGACCCAGCTGGCCCTGACCTCTGGGCCTGACGCACAAGGACAGCGGGTGGGGTCTGGGGGTCTGGAGAATGAATGCCACTGCAGCAGGGCGGTGGTCTTAAGGCAGGGGGTACTTCCCGTCAGTCACTCCGTGCCGGAGCGCTGGGAGCTGTTAGGCTAATGGGGGGGGGGGGGCAACAGCTCCTTCCGCAAAGCTCCTGGGGTCCAGCAGGAGAGGGCCCCCATGGGCACCTACCCACCCTCCCTGACCTCCCACCACTGGGATCTGCTGTGTCAGCATCCTTGGGACCAGTCTTTGCTCCCGGGGGACGCGGCTCGAAGGTCGGGCCCTGACCTTGGCCGGAAGGTGGAAGGAAAGCTGCCAGTGGCCATTTGGAAAACTCTGACATCCTCCAGACTGCGGGGAGAAGGAGAGGACAAGGTCATTGGAACCAGAGTCGGAGCCCCGCCCCTTTCCTAAGGCGCTCCCTCCTCCCCCAGCTCCCGTTTTGACGCCTGGTTCTGAGCGGTACCTGAGCAGAACCGAAGCTCCCACTTCACAGCTGGGGTAGTGCGTGCCCCTTGTCCTAACCCTGCCCTCACCGAGGCACCATCGTCGTTCAGGACTGGACCATGCCGACGGCGGGTGGGTGGGGCCTGCCCTGTACGCCGGGGATGTTTAACAGCACCTCTGACTTCAGCGCGGCTACTAGATGCCAGTAGCACCCCTTCCTCCCTTCTGGCAGCCAGCGGTGTCTCCAGAGCTGGGTGCAAAATCGCCCCAAGCTGAGACTCACGACTTTAGGAGGAAAGGCTGTTGTGCCCATTTTACAGAGAGGTAAGTAGAGGCTAAGAGAGGGGCAGTAACTGGCCTGAAGTTGCTAAGGAGCAGGGGCAGGGCTGCACTCAGGGCTGCCTGAGCTGGTAACCCCCAGGCAGGCATCCACCCTTGCCCTGCCCTGCCCTGCCCTCGCTGCCCTCCTTCCTCTTCCTCACCTGCAGCCAGGGCAGGCTAAGCCAGGAGCCCTATCCTGGCTTCCTCAGGAAGCTCTGCTGGGAGGGGCGACTCCCCTACCACCCCCTAAACTCCATACCTGCCTTCCTCACAGCCAGGAGGTAGTGTGGGTGCCTGGGAAGCAGGCCACTGGTGTCTCAGGGCAGGCCTGGGTGGCTGGGGCTCAAGGGGGTTCCCCTGCCCTGGCTGCCCCCCCTGCCCTTCCCAGCCCACCTTGGGTGGGGAGAGTTAAGGGAAGACGCTTCTGGGGAAAAAGCTTCACTTATTTATTTATTTTTTCCTTTTTAAAACATAAATCACAACTTGTAGGGAAGCCAGAAAATAGGAAAATGAGCTAGCAATAATTTTTAAATTAAAATTATCCACAACCTCCATCCAGAGCTAATAACTGTTAATAATGTTTTCAGATAGATATTTCTAGTATTTTTCCATAAAATAAACCCACACACAGATATTACCCCTGCCTCAGTGTTTGTTAAGTTCACGTGCTCAGGTTCAACATTTCCTTTTTGGTTTTTGGTTTATTTTATGAGATGGGTCTCGCTCTGTTGTCCAGGCTGACCTTGAACTCATGGGCTTGAGTAGTGGACCTCCCAGGCAGCTGGGACTACAGGCGTGAACCACCACATCCAGCTGTTTTTATTTTTAAAATTTTTGGAGGGATACAGTGTGATGTTTTGATACATGTATGTAATGTACAATGATCAAATCAGGGTGATTAGGGCTGGGGCGGGGCTCCATGGCAGAGCACTTGCCTAGCATGTGGGAGGCACTGGGTTCCATCCTCAGAACCACATAAAAATAAGTAAATAAAATTTAAGAAATCAGGGTGATTAGCATACCTATTACCTCAAACATTTATTATCTCCTTGTGCAAGGAACAAAGTTATCCCTTGGAGCTATTTTGAAATACAGGAGAGATTTCTAACCACGGTGAGTCGCCTACCACACTAGAGGACAGGGCGCTCTCTCCTCCCATCCACCCTGGGAAGGCTGCCGGCGCGGCTCTGTGGTACACCAGTGCGGATTCAAACCTGTCTGGCTGGGGATCTTCATGACCAGCACCAAAACCCAACTCCAGGGATTTAAGCAGCAAAAGAGATTGTTTAGAGGTTCCTGGGACCCATGGACACATGCCAGGAGAGCCAGACATGACTCAGAAGCCACAAAGCTGGGAACCACAGCCAGCATCCTCCCATGGCAGAGCCCAGAGATGGAGCCCAGGGTTGCCCTGGGCGCCTCTGTCCAGGCCCCTCTGTCTGGGCCCCACCAGGCTTCCACTGCACTCCATTCCCACTCCCTTGAGGGAGGTGGAATGTCTTTCCCCAACTAGAGGAAGGCCACGAAGAAAGAAGCCCTGGCCACCGCTGAGTGGGTGTTGCCTGTGCGCCCTTCTGCCCCGACAGGACCTGTGTCTGGGTTCCTGGTGGCAGGGCAGGGCAGGCCGGAGGCTGGAAGCCTGCAGACAGCCAGTGGGTGACCTGCAGCCACAGTGCTCCAGGTGGCTTGTAGCCAGAGGATGCTCTGTGGCCGATGGAGTAGGTGGCCCTGGGGACCCAGCCAGGAAGAGGCGGGAGAGGCTGGAGGCCTGGGTGCTGGTGTCTTAGACAGCTGCCCGGTGCCCACGTGGTGGCTCCAAGGGAGGGATGATTCCAAAGACAGAGATGGCCACAAAGGGCACCGGGTCTGGAGCCCGGCCAGCGTTCCAAGCTGTCTGGCACCACCTTGCACTGGCTGGGTGACCCTGAGCAAGTCTCTCAGTGTCTCTGCCTGCGAATTCTCAACAGTAAAATGTGTGCCCCTGTCCCAGGGCTGTTTTGAGCAGTAAGTGAGTCACACGTGGAGTGCTCAGGGCGGCGCCTGGCACACGGGTGGTCTCCACTCATGCCAATGCCAGTAGAGCTCCTCCTTCCTCCCTCTCCAACACCCGCCAAGGGCGGCAGCCA